GGTGATGCCGTTGTCAGACTACGTTCCAGACTTCGACTGTGGATGTTTGAATGATGGGGGCGACCGATCTGCCCGCAGCAATGATTCCATTGCTTGCCATTAGGTTAGGTTGCCATTGTCATTTTACTGACATTTGGTTACCATAATAGTATTGTTCGTTGAACCATAGCCAGCTTCGGTGGTTTTACTGCCTTAGACAGCGGTCGAGCTCACAGTCGATAGACGCTTTGGGTGTTGACGTCTCCAGAGGCAGATGCAAAACTTCGCCAAGGCGGGATCATCTTGAATTCGGTGTCCCTACGAGACAGGGCTCACTACAAGTAATGATATGTTATAGTTTGCTTGATTTACGATACAGAACCATAAGTGTTAGAGAATAAAAGTTTTCTACCGTTCGGTGTATTGTAACGGAGGCATGCATCCGCCGTTATCTTGACATATTTGTTTCTCATTGAATACGAGCGACATTTGAAGAGGTTCGCACGGCATTTGACGAATCCAACTTATGGTGCCGTATACCAAAATGGGGAAACGGACATGTTCATGAGAAACGTCTTTGGTAGATCCAAATACATCAATAGAATAGAGACAGATAAGGAATGACGGAGGTTTCAGCAGGATGCAGTGATATCAAACCGACTTTATCACAAACGGACACAATTTCTGGTCCCTACCGGCGTGGGGTAAGCCCGGGAAGTATGTCGCCGGAGCTCCACCGTTGTGCGTATGATATTCAGAGTGCTCTTCCTTTTTCAAATGTTTGTTAGGACTTTTGATGATTTCATTTCGTGGTTTTTGTACACGGTTGGTACAATAGCTGTTCGTCGCGCGTGCATGGTAATTTCGGGTCTTAAACGGTACTTTAACAACGAAAAGGGCGCGTTTATCATCGAATTAATGACGCTGTTTCGGCGGCTTGGTACGTTGTCTGGCTGTTTATGATGATTGATAATAATGGAAGGCGTTGTCTGGCAGCACCTCTGGTGTCTGGTAATGCTCGCTATACTTAATCACTTCTTGCACTGCTTGCAATGTACCGTTATCAATCGCAGCTCACTGGTGCCAAGTAAGACGCAACGAGCTAGATGCGCTATATCATACACAAAAGATGTCAAGCATCAACGGAGAAAATCCTGATTGGGTGTAATGGGCTGAAGATTGCTGAATTATTCAATAATTCAGGAGCAATCAAGAGGAGAATGATCATGAGTTGGATCGAGCAATTCGAACACGAAACGCGGTCGTGAAAACGATCTCAAAAGATTCAAAATGGATCGTACAGTGCACAAAAACAGATCGATTGTCTGCATGTACAACATACGTGGCATGCAGACCGGGAGGCATTAAATCAGATATTAAATAGATGCGGTCCGTTAGTTGCAAAACATTGGAAAGTGGTTCACGCAAATGTAAAAAATATGATTCAGTCACAAATCGCATTTAGATATGGAATGTGGTTATAGTGCAATCGAATCACGGAGCCTCTCAAGCCAGTGGTATTGCACAACAGTAATGCTGTTCATCTGCTATCGCTGCATGCCGTGCACTTCGTTCAGGGTTCGACAGTTGAATCATTAAAAGTGATGGGTGTTGCGCGCTAGAACTGCTGTTGTCATTTGTTCGGTTGCAAAAAGATGATGTAATAAGCATTCCGTTGCCATACTTCGTAAGGTGTGGAGAGTTTTAAGGTCTCATTGCGAATCTCTTCTTTTTTGCAAGACCTAAACATGCGATGCCAAAGGTCATGCCGATGCCAAATCAACACCAAACACCCGAGCCAATGCAATGAACGACACCAGAGGCCTAAGGTGTGCCTTGTCGCTCGTAACCGGTCCTCCCCGGGGAGATGTCCGAAGGGCCGCTGTTTTTACCGAGTCTGAGCTCATTTTCAACTCAAATCAGTAAAATCAAATCAGCCGCACGATAATAACAGCACCCACTCTGAGCACCATCAGGAGCGTAATCACATGAATCCTCCGCCATCAGATCCATTGGTGATAATGCTCCACCGGCAGGCATTCTCTCAATCTTGGTTTAGTTTATTTACCACGCAATTCCACACATTCTGTGTAGGACTGTATATAAAGTCCTGGGCGCATTCTGAGTCACGGCCTTTTTTGAGTGGTAGAAACTTTAACAAGGTCCGACTTTGTTGTCTAGGCCACCCTATTATGGCGCCGACATGAAGAACAGCAGACAAAATGCGGCGAAATGGCTGCGATATGTGACGGGGCTGCAGCGGGGCTGGGCCAAAGTGCAACAGCTGTGGGTGCGGAATGTTGGTTCCGTGAGCGGGGCCTTTGTATCAGTGCGAGGACATTCTGTATTACTAAGTGCGTTAAAATAGCGTGTTATAATGAAATAAAACTTATAACGCAACAACAACAAAAGTTACTGGCGCTTGGGGAACGGACGGACGGTACATGTACTGTCGCCACCGCTGCCGCTGTCAGATGTGCAAGGATTTCTTGTCCATAACATGGTTCCTTATTGGTCCGAAAGCTTCCCAGCGGACTTACAACCACTGTGTCTTACGATCTCTGTCGACGCACGTGTCTTCCCCTGGCTTCCCGAAAAAGCTTTCACGGAGATTCGGGGATCAATGGAAACGGTGCTGCCCTCATCTTTACTGACACTTTGCATGCCATTCAGTGGCTGGCCCCGTTCCCAGCCGGTGGTTTGGTCTCACTTGACTGCAACATGACACGGCCGTTTTAGTCAAGATATGCTGAGCAGCACCGTGACTCGCTGCGGCGTGTCGGCGCCGCTCCTAATCATGTATGTACGTATCATGCTGTCACAGTTCCTCTTCCGCTCCTCTCCTTTATAATCGGTTTCAAACCGGCGGATGTAGTCGTCACCAGCAAGGCCTCAAGTTCCCTCATCAAACAAGCCGACCAGCAGTTCCAGCGGTGACGAGATTGCCGGGGATGCTGGGGTGGAGCACTTCCGTCATGCACTGGATGCTATCATGCTGCTCCCTGTCCTGCCGATCCAAGGGAAGCTGGCACCGGATTCCCTCTGTCACGTGACAGCTGTCCCTGAGCCTCGGCCGCTTCACGTTGGACCGCGTGTTAGGAACGTCGTGTGGCCAACAGAGTATGTCGAGCTGGTGCTGAGAATGCCTGGCCCGGGTTCCGGCACGGGGTTCTTCCCTCCCTGCCCGCATACATCCGCCACTATTTACGATTGCTGCAATGTGAAGCTGTGCGATAAATCATCATACGCTATGCTTTGAAATTGGCAGAAGTAAATGCATGTAGTTTATGATAGTTTTGGCCACAACTATTTCATTGGAATAAGGTGACGATAATTACTTATCCGTGTACACATCGCCTGAGCTGTGCAACGATTGTTAACAAAACAGAGGGAATTTTGGTCCCGATTGAGCAGAGGGTTTCGCAAGTACGGGGTTTCCAGCACGGCGGGAGGCAAAAAATTATTGCAATTCCCACACAAGTCAAAGCATTAGTCTCGCGGCCCATCATCGGCTCGTGTAATTAGTAGGCGCTTTCGTCCGGCAGAAATTTGGAAGCTCTCTAGCGAGATCCTGGCAATTTAAAGAGCTTCTGGTTACATCTCTCCAGAACCTGCCTTGTGCTGGAGAAATATAAACACTGTGAGGAATATCATCCTGTTTCGAGGTTCTTCTGTAGACATGGCCTTCTCCCCGTCCTTGTGCTCTCCTTGAGATTGCGTGCATGCCATTGGTAATGAAGCCGTCATGCATGAATGCGTTTTACTCTGGCTTGAGCCAACTGGTGGTTGGAGCTCCTACGTACGTTAGGGACGTCAAACCCGGTGTTTTTATCAACACCGGGATTACAATAAAATCGTTTTGCCATACATTTTAATGACTTGTCTGCATCAAAGCCACACTTGTTTCAAATAAGACGAGCTAGCCATTAAGTCAGTCCAAACCGTCTAAAGTCATACCGGAAACCCTAAGTCCTCGTATAGCTACCGCGTGATGTACGGTGTCATGCCATCAGGAACGCTAAACAATCCGGTAATTTTAAGAACAACATTTGAAATAGGAGGTCCTTGAAGTTGTTTGTACGTGCCGTTTTGCCCATGAGTGCACTTTTGGATAACTAACATCTCACAATCCCATCTGACCAGCAGTTATATTTTGGCGTCCTGTCCAGCTCTGCCAGCCCGTGTTGGCACTGCCAAGCGCCTACTTCCGGCGTTCGAGTTCGGACTCATGAACACCTATCCAACGCGTACCACCACTTATGCACGTTACACGCAGAGCAACTTAAATTTGTGTCGTGCATATCGCCTTGGTATGTGCTATGAGCTTAGCAAAGGTAGTGCCTTGTTCGCCAGAAGTTCAGGGCTCACTAAGCCGTTCTAGGTCTCAATCACTATTTTCAAATAATAGTTTCCATATGATTAAGGTTACGTGCAAGGGTATGACTTTCTATAATCGCTCGCGGGGCTGGGCCAACAGTTAGCCTAACTTGCCCCAAAAATCTGACCTCCCGGATTTCAACTGTTTCGATTTGCGTCCCCAAAGAATCGGCTGACCGTTCTTCATATACATGTGATGGATAATTGCATAGCTATTTCAATGTTGGGAACACCGGATCAGAAATTCCCCCCCCCCCATGTCGGGATTGATTGCAAAACGGAATCAGGAGACTGCGAACTGTTATTCCGAACGGACCTTCCTAGGTGCATCTCTAATGTGCACCAAATGCGGGAGACGATAGATAAAGATCGCACGCGGCTTACCCACGATATTGTGTGTGTATATATATATATATATATATATATATATATATATATATATATACATGTGTGTGTGTGTGTGTGTGTGTGTGTGTGTGTGTGTGTGTGTATGTGTGTGTGTGTGTGTGTGTGTGTGTGTGTGTGTGTGTGTGTGTGTGTGTGTGTGTGTGTGTGTGTGTGTGTGTGTGTTTGTGTGTGTGTTTGCGTGTGTGTGCCTTTAGGTGTTGTAAAACGAATGCTAGAAAAATCACAAAAACCAGATATATTTTATTTGTGTCGCAGCACCAGACAACTGTAACACAAAGAACAGGCCAACATTCAGGTGCGCACGCATGACATAACAACAGCTGGTGTTTGCTGAGAGCACCAGGGCGCTTCTGCCGCATTCGTGTCTGGGGCTTGGATCATCTGCCGCTCAGAAAATCGACGAGTTGTGATTGTTCCAGTTCATTATTTGCCGTGTACTTATCCATGATCTGCTTTGCAGTATATAGCAACAGACAAACGCGTGTCTGCTATATGATGACAAACCACTAATATGCCTGTGAAGGAGCCAGCTAACCCTGCATTTTAAATCGTATAATAATTTCGGTTAAGGATCGCACCAATTCTGTCTGCCGTTGCAGTGCTTTACTGTCTCGTACGGATCCCACTTAGGCACTTGCTCGTCCTCAGACATTTTGCCAGCGATACAGCAATAAGCATCACACATGCTATGGTTCGTGATTGCGCGATATTATGCTGATACATCGTTCCCTTATAGCAAATTATATTGTAATGATGTCTTGCAGTGTCCAGACATGTCGGCGCGGTGGCTGCACAAGCTCGAGCTGGGTCCAAACTGAAGTCACAATCCGGAGAACTGATGCTTCGTCCAGCGGCCAGCGTTTGGCATGGACCGGGCGGCTGACGCGTTGAGGAGCTACCCTCGCGGTGAATACGGCCGCTTTCTTTCACAGAATACGTGGGCTGGTGTCTTGCATCAGCATGTTTCCTTGTAGTCGGAGACGTTACCGCGCACGGACCGGTGTTTGCTTCACACATGGCGCTGCTGTGTCGAAAGGACGCGATGTTGCCCGCCGGCGAAGCGGCGTGAGGCCCAGGCGGTGCTTTCGCTGGAGGCGTGTTGTCTCTCAGGGAGGAGATCGACGCTGCACTAGTGTCACGCTCAGACACGGGAGTCACAGAGTCTAAGGCTAAGTGATCCGGCTTGACGGTGTGCGAGTCCTCTTTCCTCCGTGCCTCCTCATGATCTGACGATGTCGTTGACCTGACGGTGTCGTTGACCTGACGGTGTCGTTGACCTGACGGTGTCGTTGACCGGACGGTGCCGTTGACCTGGCGTCCAGGCGGCTCAAACTTCCTGCTCCGGGTAGTAGCCATCGGGCGCGGCGGCGTTGAACACGGCCATGATGAGCACCAGCAGCAGGAAGGTGACGAGCGAGATCCACCAGAGCACGCGCTCCCAGCGCAGCAGGCGCAGGTTGCGCAGCGCCACGTGGCCGATAAGCAGGCCGGCGACGGCGCCAGCCAGGTGCGCCGTATACGCCACCTTCTGGTCGGGACCGGTGGCGTACCGGTTGTAGATGGCGACGCCGATGTCGGTGGAGGCGAGCAACAGCAGGAGGCCGAGTCGCACCAGCGCCAGCTCCATCTGAGCCCAGTTCAGCACGAGGTCGGCCAGGTGGGCGGCCAGCAGAGCGTACACACCTCCAGACGCGCCGGCCAGGTAGACGCGCGGGTCCAGCACGGACGTGGCCAGCGAGCCGAGCAGCACGCCGCACAGGTACACCACGCCCACGCGCCACCACTTGTGTACCAGCTCGAGCGGCAGGCCGACCAGCAGCTGCACCACCATGTTGGTGGTCAGGTGCACCCAGCCGACGTGCACCAGCATGTAGGAGAGCAGACGCCAGACCTCGCGGCGGCGGTACGGGCTGTAGATGAGCGGCGAGTGCGGGTCCACCGGACCGCTGCTGGTGATGGAGCCCAGACGCACACCGTCGTACACAAACACCGCCAGCTGCACGACGGTGAGCAGCGGCAAGAGCAGCGGCGGCGGCCGGCAGTTGTATTGCTGCAGGTAGCTGGGCGGCCGCTGCGCGCGCGGCACCACGCTGCACGCGGCGGCGTTCAGCAGGCCGCGCTCGCCGGCGGCCGGCTCCGACCGGTGCTCGCCGCCCATCTCGACGCCGCCCTGCACCATCGGCCTGCGTCCGTGGCGGCAGCGGTCGCTGCCGACTCGGACGTGGAGGCGACGGCGGCTGCGGCGCACCCACGCAAGCAGCGGCCTGGCTGGCTCCCGTCGTCGGGCGGAGCGCGCAGACCGCAGGTCCGTGGCGGTCCGGCACGACTCGGTCAGTGGAGCGTGGCTGGACGGACGCTCGCCGCGAGAGCGGTGCGTGGCCGGACTCACAGGAGGGCGGCCTGCAGTCCTCGTCTGGTCTCACACGAAGACGCAGGCAGTCCAGGCGCGCCAGACACTGACGGACCTCGCGACAGCGCGGCCCCGGACCGGTGAATACTGGCGCTGTCGCGGCCGGGTTACCAAGGTGACGTGCGACGCTGAATTCCTGCCGCGCTCAATGGATCGATGGTCTGGTCGCTGGACCATGTCGCGCACCTGCCTCGGCGTAGTACAGCCACTGGTGGATCGTGCCAGTCGTAACTATATGAGCTCTTCGATTGCGCACGCGACGCAGACTCGTGCGGACCTCCTCCACACGAAACGAGTCCAGTGTTGGGCAGGGGCAGCAGACACTAAGTTTAAAAGGGATGCTGCCTCATTTCTGGGCAAATGGCACCGTCTTGCTGCGTCGCACGGAAAAAATACATCGAGTCAACTCTATCGAAACTAACCCTACCGGCCACCTGTGTATGAAAGGCAAGTAAACTTGCTGACCCTGCGATGAATAAACCATAAGCAAATGCTACCAAGCGAGCCGTTTGGCCACAGGCCGAACAGACTTATTGGTCACCAGTAAATGGTACCAACTGATGTGCCAATGCAACGTTCGAACGTTCACCAATCGGCTGCCCTGCACAGTGCCAGTTGGTTTCAACTGGTCTGTCCAAGTGGAGCAGGTTTGTCCCATTCCAACTGAGACCCACTAGCGCATACCTTCCGAATTTGAAACAATTTTTTCCAGCTAATTTATGTGTATTTGAATAGTAACACGCCACCGAAGACAATCACAGGGCGCCTATCCGTGCCAAAGCATGTACGAGCTTACACAGGATTTCGCATGGGGGAGGGGTGCACAACTGACATTGAAACTAACATCTAAAACTCTGAAAACTGGCTTTAGCGCGCTGCCTGGCCGCTCCAATGCGCCATCGCGCACACTGGAGGACACGTGTTCGTGTGGTGCTCGGTAACGTCCGATAGTCGCCAACGTTTTCTTGGAACTCGTCAACGGCGCCTGTTTGACAAAGCTTGTCACCAATCCCCGTGAGCAATACCTTAGGTATGTTTGGCGGCTGTTTCTATGGAGCGTGGATAACAGAAAGAACGATCAGGTATTATGTATAAAAGATAAGTTAGCTTTCTTAAAAGGATAATTTGCAGCATACAACCTACCGCTTAAATAATTGCTTCAGGTGATCATTCTTAAAACATGCCGCGACAAATTATCTCGTCAGGACTTAGCAAAATATATTTGGAGGGTGTGGGAGAAAAGGTAAAATGTTTAATCGTCAAAAGGACTAAATGCATTTAAAATTAGTCTCGCTTTGTGTTGGCTTTTTCCTACGTAACGACAAATCAAGAGCCGTCCGAGCATTAATCTGCTTTGTTGAAGTCGATTGAGCTGACATAATCATAAATGTCCATCTTCTGCGTACGTAACTCACCACTTTACTGGGACTTTGGTGCGACACATTTTGGGCCATTAGGCTCGGAGCATGGGGTTGTCTGCAGCCAACTTTGTTGGTTTTGGCCATTTTTGGTAACTTTTGACTTGACCCAGGGTCACCGTGTTCTGGAAAGGATTGGATGTCGGCTAGGCGCATCGATTGGGGACGGTTTTATGATGACATGTGCGATAGGCTCGGAGCATCGGGTTGTCTACAACCGTGTTTCCCCCCTTTTTTGTATATGTGGTGGTCTTTGGCCTCACCCAAGGTCACCATATTCTGGAGATGATAGGTTATCAACTTAGCGGCATTGAATGAAGAAGATTTCATGTCGAAAGGTGCAATAGGCTCAGAGCACGGGGCTGCCAATGAGTTTGGTCGGCCGTTTAGCCCTTTCCTTTCTACCTTCTTCCGAGCATGTTGTGTCGGAATTAATGTAGATAGAAATGAAGCGTATAATCGGTTAAACGTTCATTCCCACAAAAACAATGCGACAAAGAGACTGTGCGCCAAACAACATACGCAGTCGTTGCGCCCTAAAACCCCAATAAACAACAGGACAGCACAGGCCTAGCAATACATTGAAACATTATGCAGTAGTTTAGTACAGTTCCTGATGCCACTTATGTTTGCGGCGCTTGTAGCGCGTAGTTTAAAAGTCCATAGACGTCTGACGAGCGGAATGCGGCGAGCATTTAAAGGCCAGCCGCCGATTGATGCAATTTAAAAAGGTCATTTTCAGTCCTAGGATGCTTCGTTTAAGCTAGTTCGTGCAATAGGCTGTACTTTACTTGCTAAGGTATTTCTGTTTGATGTGTTGGGATGCCCAAGCTCTGTGAATTGTCTGACTTACACTCATTGCGCTCAGCATTCCTGTGCATCTGTGCCTTTGTACACCAGGTATATGATTCAAGCAGTATATCTTAGTCTGGACCATTTTGACACATAAATAGACTTGTGGAAGCTGATTGAGCTCACTGTGCAATGTTGTCAAATTGAAGCTCATGTTTTGGTTGATATAAGCTTTCATTGATTGATTAACAGGAATGGACATGATTTTGCATTTGTTTTCTGTTCTTAATTGGCGACCTCTCCTTCGCTTACTTTTGATTTTGATATGCCTGTGCTCATTACAGCAATTTGAAACATAAATTTTGGAGTGACCAAGCCTTTTCAAACACCAAATAACAAAAAGTATTTGAGTGTGAAGTAGTGTACATTGGCACACCCTGAACCCCAGTCATTGTCAGAACATGTAAGTATTGGGACTTAGAATATTATCTCAACTCATTAAGATTCCTTGCATTCTTTGTGCCATAATTTTCCAAGCTTCGGAAGTGGTGCAGGTTTGGTGGAAATTGAGCAATATGTGGTCATGCTTCCATTATGCTGTCACTTTGTCCTAAGGCATTATCAGGGTCTGAAGCTTGGATATTTTCAAGGTCATGAGAACTTGTGCAATAAGTATGTGCAGCACAGCCTTATTTCATTCCAGGAGGTGATCCTTTATCAGTTAGTTGTGGTCACTACCACTAACTACCAACATCAGAATCCATGCACATATTGCTGAGTGTCTATGTTGCTTTCATTTCTAAATACTGGGTTTAGGCTCCTTGGAGGTTAAATTTTTCTATGTCTATGAGTATGTGTCCTTTATTTTGGTCTGAGAATGGCCTGCACTTGTTTGTAGAAATTCTGGAATGTGGATTGATGCCAGGTTCTCACCATTTGCTGCTCACCTTATTCACTGCTTGGTGAAGCATAATACCATATGCTTGTTTCAGCAAAATGTTCAAAGCTTGATGTTTGCCCTTATGCTGGTACAACTGTGCATTGTTTGGCATTGCAATTTAATTAAAAAGGCAATTAAAAGGTTGTCTTATGTGGCCTGTACCATCTCTAATCATGCACTATGCATTAACTTTGATTGGAATTGGTGAAAATGGCACAGGTCATTGAATGGTGTTTAAATTTACCTGAGTAGACAACATGTCAGGAAAACAGATGGGAAGAAGTACAAAGACATTATGCTGTGATTTGAAAAATGATGTTGGATGTGTGAGGTTGATTCTTTCATGCATAACATGTCTTCCACACAGATGTGATGCAAATAGTGAAGCTCATGTGGCTTGTTTAGTGCTGTGGTTATCTCCATCCTGCCTTTGATAAGTTTTTGTTTACTGAACAGTACCAGAGGTGTTCAGCTCTCATTCTGAAGCTCTGCTATCTGAATCAGAGCAGTGGGTATGTTCACTCTACACCCACCATCTACTCCATGGCCACTACTTGCTCCTGCCATGTCAGCAGTGCAGGCCGTCCCTCCGCCAGACATGAGCCAGCCGTTGGCCGACTCCGCGCCGGCCGGTGCCCCCTTCCGCCACCCGGACACGCCGAAGCGCGCCGGCGGCGGCGACTCGTGGCGGCGGGCGGCGCCGGAGGTGGCCGGCGCGGCGGCGGGCGCCCTCCTGGGACGGCCAGTCGCCGGCGCTGCGTGACGCATTGGCCCGTCACCGCGCCGCCGCCGCCGCCGCCACGCCCGACAACCCGTTCGAGTGTGACGACATGATGACGTCACTCTCGCTGCCCGCCTCCAGCCCGTCTCTGTTCCAGCATGTGCAGAGCCCCAACGACAAGGAGGTGCGTGCCAGTAATGGGGTCGCCTGTCGAAATGATGACGGTGTACTGCACAGCGTCCAGCATGGGCATGTGGCGCGTGCAACACCGCAGTACATAGCACAGTGGTACCAGTAACTTGGTACCGGTACCGAGGCGGCAGTAGGACAGGTCAGCTGCGGGCGATCGTCATGTTTGTCTTCCACCGGCCCAGCCGTGTGCTGAGACGATGCTGCCGGGTGGGGCGTGCGGCGCCCTGTCCCCCAGTGAGGCCGCTCACCGTCTGACGGTGCTGCACCGCTCCCAGGAGCCGGGCTGGGCCATCGAGCAGATGGCGCAGCTGCACCCGGCCCATATAGACGTCACGCCCTACCACAAACAGCTGCTCGGCCAGAAGTACGACCCGCACAAGGAGATGCAAGTCCAGACGGCCATTGATCGGTCAGTCTGACGGAGTCTGACTTGCCTCAGCTGTCGTAGCCAGACGTTCCTCGTCGTGTTGCTGTCAGGTTCTAGCCTGCTAGTGGTCTCCTGCCCTAAACGTTAGACGACTTTTTATGTGCGGACATTCAACGCGAGCCACCCACCTTCCCACGCGTTGTTTCTGAAATTATGAAAGGTGATGTCTAGACGTGGTTTGCGTGATGTTTGCCGCCGCCATATTCGCCACCGATATTGTGCTTCCTCTCGGTTCCCTCCCAAAGCAGATGACGCTGTTTGTGAAGTGCTGCCGGACTTTGCTCAATACGCACGCCACGGCCGGAGTCGCTGCCGCGGCGTTTGAACGCCGTTCTCTGTGCGCTGTCGGCAGCTTCTTCAGCTCGGAGAAGATCGTGCCGTCGCCGTGGAGCGCCGGCGGGCCGCGGACGGTGGCGTTGGCCAGCTGCCTGGAGAGCCCACTGACGGCCAGCGCGCCGCCGGCCGTCCGCCACTGCGGCACGCAGACGGCGCTCACCCTGCCTGCGCAGCTGCCGGCCGAGCTGGAGCGTGCGCTGGCGCCCTACCTCTGTTGCGCCGCTGCCGTAGGTCACCTCCACGCGCAGTCGTTATCCGTCAGACGCTGCTCTCAGCTCTGCCTGTGTCGCGCCGCTGCGGTGTTTCTCGCCGCCCCTTGCCCCTGCCTTTGAGGTGTGGTCTTCTCTCCGTCCTCTGCTACGACGCCGCGGTAGGCTCCATCCTCACACTGTCGTCGCCCTGTAGTCACTGTCCTCTCTATATGTGCCATCCCACTGCGGTACTTGCCAACGCCCTCATCTTGCGCCATGGTGTTCTTTCCTGCCTGCGACTCGTGGCGGCGGGCGGCGCCGGAGGTGGCCGGTGCGGTGGCGGCGTCCTCCTGGGACGGCCAGTCGCCGACGCTGCGTGACGCATTGGCCCGTCACCGCGCCGCCGCCGCCGCCGCCGCCGCGCCAGGCAACCCGTTCGAGTAGTCACTGTCGTCATAGCCCGTTGTAGTCACTGTCGTTTCCTCTGTATATGCCGCTCCGCTGGGGTTCTTGCCACCGCCCCCTCATAATGTGCCTATGGTGTTCACTCCTGCTTCTGCTGCGCCACCTGCGCTTCGCCCCCGCTTTCGTCACCTTCTATGCACGATTCGCATGTGCCCCTCTCCCACATCACACACCAACCAATAGCTTCTGTTGTTTATTGTGATGAACGTTAGCGGCTAGTCTGGCCTGGTTCGTGACTTTCTATCCCGGTCGTGCCGTGGCGATGTGCGCCCTTGTGTCGGCTGCGAAGTCGAGCCGCTGCTGCCCGCCGCCGTTCAGCTGATCACAGGCCGTGGAGCCCCTGAGCGCCGTCCGCCGCCGCAGGACCAGAGCCAGAGCCGCGACGACGACTCGGTGATGAGCACCTCGACGCTGCGTAGGAAGCTGCTGTTCCACAATACCAACGGTGACGAGCCGACCAGCAACGACGTGTCCATGGCGGACCCGAACGGCAGCGTCTACCACTTCCCCGGCACCCCGGACAAGGTTGGCAGCGCTGCGCGTTCTCTGTCCCCCGCTCTTATGGATCGCTCTTCCCGTCGCCAGCTCCACCTGTCGTGTATGTAGCGCTCCATCGTGCCTTGATGTCAGCCATCGAGAGGTGACCGAATCGCCCCGTCGGGCAGCTCTGACAGTCATTCGGGGCGTCGTTTGGGTGTAGCGGCCAGTGCTGTCCTTCCGCATGCATGTTGTGCTGCCATTCCACGGTACAATGCGTGTGTGTGTTCGAGAATGTGTCGGCTGTCGGCCACGGCGTCGGGAGTCGTGGGTGTGTGTTTATCGCCCGTCTGACCCTGGGAACTGCGAAGGATGAGCGTGCCGTCCTGAACCCCAGGGTCATCTGCTGCCGACGTCGCCGCCGTCTCCCGGTCGCTCGCGCACCTCCGTCCCCCACCGACCTGACGTGGACTCTCCCGCGGTCTCCCCCATCTGCAAGTCGATGATGGCCTCGCCCAGCACGAGCAGCATCAAGTCGCAGGGTTTGGCCAAGATCCGGTACCCCAGCTCAGGTGAGCGTCGCCCCGCGGCAGGTAGGCGGAGGCTGGGACCTCCCGCAATGAGATCTTTCCAGATATGGAAAGGAAAACATTGTGCTACACTGGAGCATAACAGCTCTCGTGTCCAGGTTTCACCATGTAGCCTGATGCATGAGATGGATTCATGCTTTAAATGAATGTTGGAGCTCCTGTTGCTCTGACGGGCCCGACTTGGGGTGTTTTTGGCCTACACCACACCCGTCCACCTCAGCGTTTCACGGGGGTCACCCGTTCCGCAGACATCTCCGACCCAAGCGACGACGACGACGACGATGTGGGAGGAGCGTCGGCGGTGGCTGCGGCCGAGCTGCCGAGCTCGCTGGCCGAGGACTCGGTGCCGCAGGACACCGGCTACCATTCGACGCTCGCCTCGCTGCCGTCGCTGTCGGCGCGCCACCTGGCCGTCGCCGAGAACAGCCAGCTGGCGCGCCTCCTGGGCTCGGGCTCGGCCTCGATGCTGCATTCGACGCGGCTCGAGTCGCGCCTCGAGGCGTCCGAGCTGCCGTCGGATGCGGCGCCGCAGCCGGCAGCTCCGCTGGAGGCGGCGCTGCACGCGCTGCGTGACGGCCGCGCCGAGGAGCCGCCCGTGCCGATCGGCTCCTCCACGCCGAGCCGCGCCAACAGGCGGTAACGGCCGACCGGCTGCTACCGGCCGCCAACCCGTATTGGTCCGGCTGCGGTCCGCAAATGGTCCAGCCGTGGACTCGTATTGGTCCAGGTCCGGGCCGCCTCCAGCGCCGAGCGGCGCCTTTGGCTGCTCGTCGGTGCCGTCAGCCCGTCCGATTTACCGTCGCGATACGCAACGTTCACCTTCCGATGCCATAATGCCGCCGCGCCCTGCCGCTCGATACGGCGTGCCGTGCGGTCCTCCTGTCCGGCTGATGTCGACCCCCGTCGACTTCATCTGCTCTGCTATCTGGTGCATGCCTCGGGGTGTGTGAAGCCCTCTTGCGTACCGTGCCGGGACGCCTTGTGTCGGGAAGGTCAATCTGTCAGGTGGTTGGCCCGAAATGGTCGCATCCCTCCCGTATCTTCCCAGATTGCTCAGTCTTGACTCGTGATACCGGGTGCTGCGGCAGGTGCTATCTATGACGGTGCCCCGGACCAGACAGCGGCGCCAATCGATCTCGTCTCAACAGGGACGTGGACATCATGTGTTCAGTAGGCGAATCAGTACTCGGGTAGATGAAAAACGGATTAGTTAGACAATATCGGGGTCATTGGCTTGTACCGCATGGGCACTCCTCGCCTTGTGATGGGACTGAGGACCATGGACATGTCGATATCTGTACAACTGCCAGCCAGCTCCAAATGGCATCGAGGCCTCGGCTTATCTTGTAAGTCACGGAGTGGGTAGGGTGCGGATGCAACTGCACTGCGTTCAAACTCTGGGCCAACCGGTCTGGCATGCACGCCAGCCGAGCGGGCGGTCCTTACAACAGGCTGTTCCGTTCCCTGAGGGGCTAACGACACTAATTCCAGCAGCGCCGCGAAGCTGGAGGCACGTGCTAAGGTGAGCAACAGCGCTCGGCACGGAGACGTGCGTTGCAGTGGTTGATGCTGCCTGCCGGCTGGTATGGCCGTTTTGGAGCTGAGCCGATATTCGGTGCATTTAGGCTATCTCGCCGGGCTTTACGCTGCGAGCCGCTGGGCGACCGTGCCAATAAAGACGAGATATTAGCTGGCCGGTGTTTGCTGGTGGCTGCGTGGTACGCGTGGCTCGTGCCGCTCCGCTTCCGGCAGCGAGCAGTGACACGCCAATACAACGCGAACGCAATAACACCGCACGAAGTGGGGTCCAGTGGGGGGCTTCTGGTTGTTTTCGTCGTGATGGCTATCTAGCGGCCATGAATAAGTTACGGAACGGTGTATGGAAGAGAACCACGTCTGGCGCTGTGCCAGTGATCCAGAAACGGGCGAGCACTAAAACTGCTCCACGAGGTGATGGAATTAGCATAAAGTGCATTACGCAAGCTTTGGATTGTTCACTGGGATTTTGGATAGATTGTATGCCGTTTGTATAGAAATGGAGCATGTGCCAGGCTCACTGAACATTTTTTCTTCTTTATTATACCGTCCACCAGGCAAGCATGGCACAGGATCAGGGATATGCGTGTGCGACCCGCTGAGGTGGGAAGCCAAACGGTTACGAACTGCGTGCTGCCGTTGACAGTGCGCATTCGAGATCTAGTTGACACATTTTGAATACAGTGCTAAGGAAACAAAAATTAATTGATTGTTCCATACCTATCCCTTTTGCGTCATTGATGCTAGTTTCAGGCCCTGGCTCGAAACATTAGAGAGGGCATGCTGCGGTATCATCATTATGCAGTAGATAAGTGTTCCCGACAGACAACGATCCTCCCTTTGTCGACGTAAATCGCGCATATTTTACAAATATGAAGTAAAGCTTTAACTGTGTAAACAAGCGTGAAGGGAACGCTACAACGCATTAGTGGGGGTACATTTATGGACATGTATGCATGGTCGATTTTGATGTTTCACACTATTTGTCAATCTGTAAGCACAGTTCGTGGCCTCAAGCAGAGCTCAAAATATTGAAAATCACAGCAAAGTCCACAAAATGGCTATGAAAACGTATGGAGACAAGCCCATTAGCTTCCAACTGGAGGAAGGTGGCGAATTTTACTGTATTGGCTCAGAGGTGAGTAGGCTAGTAATAGGGTTGATTCCCATTCCAAGAGCTGTAATTTTACATACCTACAGATCATGGCTGCAGTCGGTGTGTTCTAAAATGTCATCGAACAAAAAATTGTCAGCGACAACTTGTTTAGAGATTTAAAGCAATGTTCATGCTTTGTTTGCTGTTTGTTTTTTTTTTAAATCAAGGGAACTGGCTTAAAATGGTGCCCCTTTAATGTGCATCATGCTGATCATGTGGAGTGTGTGATATAGATCTTTTTCATGTAGTATTTTTTTAGTGTTGACAGCATAGGGTACAAATTGTGTGGGGATGCAAACCAGGTATTTCTCAACTTCAAATTGGCCAGCAAGTACTGTGACAAATGCAGTTTCTGAATATCCTAGAACAGCAGTGTCACCAAATAGGACCATGAGTCAAAATGCATCAAGCACACACTATCCAGAACATGTCAGACATGGCAACAACATCAGGTCTGCAATTTAAGAATACATGGATCATAAAGCCGAGCATTGAGTTTGGTGCACACTGACCATGAATCTTGGCACATCAAGAGCCAATGTTTCAAGAGAAATAATACAAAGGTGGCTTCAGGTTAAACCACTCAGAATACACATTTCACAACTAAATAATTTGAAAATGCAGAGCAGTTTTACCTGGCCTGAGTTTAGTATACACAAGTGCAAGATGCTGCACACTGATCTCATGTAGGGATCCAGAGGACCAGCAGGATTATACTAGTGACAGCATTTTCTGTGTCATGGAGTACTTAGGCACACAAAATATAAAAAGTTCATTTTTGGGATGTTGGTTATGTTGCTTGCATGTAATTGCTTTGTAGAATGCTGCACTGGACCTATCATGAGCTGTTCATATGACCCTGTTCAAAAGAAGGCTGCAGAATATATATGGCTTATGTTAACTTTGTTGCATGCTTTGTGAAAAATATGATTGGATCCAAAATAAAAGAAAAAGGGTATAAAAATGTTTGAGCATGCTGTTCTAGATCATTGGTTGCACCTACATGGCACTAATTCCTGAAGAAGGATCTTATGGACTGTACAATATCTGATGTGAAAAAAACATGGCATCATTCCTGGACTGAACTTCTCTGTTTGATAATTATATATAGAGGTAAATAGTGTGTCAATGTTTTCTAAGAGAACATCTTTAAGCATCATAGGTGCTGAGTTTCAATGGCTACACTTGACTGCAACAGTATTATGGCAAAAATATATTTTGCTCACATCATGTCACTCAGTATTTCTTCATTGCTTTCAGGTTGGCAACTACCTCCGGCTGTTCCGAGGATCACTATACAAGAAGTTCCCTGGTCTCTTCCGAAAGTTCATCAATGTCGAAGAACGCAAGAAGCTCATGGATATGGGTAAGAGATGGATTGATCTCAAATACTTTTCATTGTTTCAAATGTCTTCTGGTATGCTTTAATGTGTATCTGCATGTATCTTCACTTTTCGTCTTCACAAAGCATTGATATGGCTCTGAATCTGTTTGGGAGAGTCCTGATAAGGGCCTTTGCATTTACTGACATCACCTCCTTTCCACCCGGCCATGCAGGGCTCAGCCAGCACATCCTGGCTTCGAACGTCTCGCTGCTGCGAGCGGCTGAGATCGAGAACCTCATATCGGGCAAAGACGACCAGTACCGCTCCTCTGGCCTGCAGAGCGTACTGCCCAGCGAGGTTGTGGCCACGCCCAAGTGAGTCAGCCACGCCTCCAGACGGCTAGTCCAGCGTGTGGTTCGTGTGTGTTGAACGCTGGCTCTAGAGAGTTCATCTGGAATTCGTCAGCGCTGCCGTATACTGTCCGGGCAGGGTCCGGTTACCTTTGGACCCGTCTTAATCCCCGAAACGTCGTTTGTGAGTATGACGATCCAGGGATATCTGGGAGCTAGAAGCCACCAGATCTGTGACAGCAGTGTGTAAGCCGTCTCGGAGGGCGTGGCCGCGAGCAGCGTAGCGGCGGGCCTCAAAGCCGACGGACAGTGACCTGGTGGACCCTCTGACCGCCCGGCCGCCTCTGACCGGCGCCGGTGTCGGCCTCCGCCGCTGATGGCCGCGCCGGACCGCCGCAGGGAGATCAAGCCGCCGAGGAAGAGCGCGGTGCACGTGCCGACTCTGCCCAACAGTTCACACATGGACCCTGTGCCGCAGTCCACCCCCATCAACCGCAACCGCGTGGTCACCAAGCGTGTGCGCACCTTCCCGCTGTGGTGAGTGAACGCCGCTGCCGCTGGGGCGGTGCACGACTCCCGGTTGGCGTTGATGGACTGTGGCCTGCCGTGATGATGGGAGAATTCGGTCCCCCACTCAGATGAGGTATTACAGACACTGTTGTCAGCGTATGAATGCGTGGATATGAATTAGGTCATGCCAGTGGTATGTTCAATCGCCGGACTACAGTGCTCTTCTAGCGCGGGGCATTTGCCAGTAAAACGAATACCAGCACGGACGACAGCCATACGTGAATGACCGGGTCACGCGTGTCGTCCGCGTCGAGCAGTTTCGACGACACGGATCCGGAGACGTTCCACGACAACGCCATGCAGGAGGAGCAGCTGGTGCCGATCCGACTCGACATGGAGGTGGACGGCCAGAAGCTGCGCGACATGTTCACGTGGAACAAAAACGGTACGAGCTCGGCCTGCCGGCGACTCCGTCTACCGTTGCGTGGGCGAGGGACAAAGACGAAGCAGCTGCAGTTTGCGAGATACTGTGTGCGTTAAAGTCACAAAAGTTTGGGATGAAGCGCGCATGGGATGTCGATATCCAATCTCCAACCTGTCATACGTAATGCAAGTGTGCTGTACATCCCGGTAGCATACGTCTCGGTGTCTTCCTCGCAAAAACTATCCGTTATAGCAAATACGTTCATCTCGTTGCGTCTCGGTTGTCTCCCGGCCGGTGTGTCTGTGTTTCCTGCGTTGTCGCGAGTCCTCGTACCGACTGATCTGCCGTGCGGTGCCTGCCCGTCACCCTGCCCGTCCTCCGTCCCGTCTCCATGCCTCGGCGCGCCTGCAGAGACGCTCATCACACCGGAGCAGTTCGCCGAGGTCCTGTGCGACGACCTGGACCTGAACCCGCTGTCGTTCGTGCCGGCTGTGGCGCAGAGCATCCGCCAGCAGCTGGACACGTGCCCGGCCGACGTCGGCTACCACGACACCACCGACCAGCGGGTCATCATCAAGGTGGGCGTCCCTGCGCCGCCGCTGCTCCGCCGCCGCCCGGCCCCCAGAGGTCAGGCGAGGTGTGGACGCCGGGGCGGTCCGCGCCGCCGGATCGGTGGTCAAGGCTTGTTCACAAGTAGCCTTCTCCGCGGTGTGCGTGGTTTTGACCGGGTGGTGGGGCGTGACCGGGCATCACCGCCACGTTTTCCCGTGTATCCGCTCGTGCCACAAGCTTAATAAATAGCGTGTTATCATTAATCTGGCGCATTTTAAAGGGGATGTTTTAAAGTTCCAGAGCGCATTTATTATTCCTCATTTTGACCGTCCTCCTCAGCAGCCAGTTAAAATCACGTGTGTCGTCTTCGACCTATTGCAACAAGAAACAGATCAGCGCCCATTTCGTGCGCGTGATTTTGCACTGTTGATGTTGTGGCGCACGACTTTTCCTCATATACCGCGGCGGAGAAAGTCACACACTTGCCGCTGCAGGTGCCGCGGTGCATCACCCGACACAGAGTATGCTGTGTGGGAACTAGAGATCACACGTTTTATGCGATCATTCCGCCATTTTGTCGATGTAGGCACTTCGGCATGTAGGCATGTAGGCACAGGATCCTTGGATGCTGATGTCCATATGGTCCGCTTCAGGTTTTTCTCGCACGTGGTCTGCCTCCTTTGTGGTATTTGAAGTGATCTGAACCTCTTGGCGCACCAATGCAGCGAACTGTTTGTCGTGAAGCACGACATAGATCTCTTGACCAGGGGTGCAGGGCTGGCCATCTCTTGACCAGGGGTGCAGGGCTGGCCATCTCTTGACCAGGGTGCAGGGCTGGCCATCTCCTTGACCAGAGGTGCAGGGCTGGCCATCTCTTGACCAGGGATGCAGGGCTGGCCATCTCCTGACCAGAGGTGCAGGGCTGCCATCTCTTGACCAGGGTGCAGGGCTGGCCCATTTCTTGACCAGAGGTGCAGGCTGGCCATCTCTCTGACCAGAGGTGCAGGGCTGGCCATCTCCTTGACACGAGTCTATTGACCAGGGATGCAGGGCTGGCCATCTCTTGACCAGGGGTGCAGGGCTGGCCATTTCTTGACCAGAGGTGCAGGGCTGGCCATCTCTTGACCAGGGGCGCAGGGGTGGCCACCGGGCGGTCCGTCCCCGCCACCTCACCCGTGAGCAGCCCGTGACGCCCTGTCCGCCGCCGCAGCTCAACATCCACGTGGGCAACATCTCGCTGGTGGACCGGTTCGAGTGGGATGTGTCTGACCCGAGCAACAGTCCCGAGGCGTTCGCGCAGAAGCTGTGCGCCGAGCTCGGCCTGGGCGGCGAGTTCGTCACGGCCATCGCGTACAGGTGAGACGCGCTGAGTGTGTAGCGCCGCTGTGGTACAGTGACTCGTTTGCACTGTCTCAGATGGGGCATGTCTTGTGTGGATTTTTTGTGTGTGCTCGCTCAAGCTGAGCCCTGGGAATTTCTGTCTCGTGTTTTTGCTTAAGTTTGCATGCATGTTTTTTAAAGCCGCCCAATTCGCTCATCGAAATGTAGCCTTCGTCAGGCTTACAACTTGAAGGGATTTGAACATATTCTTTCTTGCTTACCTACGAGGTTTACAGAGCTTAGAGGGCACTGGAGGCTTGGTTGATACGGTATATTACCACCATTTTGTTTTATGTTGGTAGCCCACGTGACTTGTGCATGCATCTAAGGAAATAATTAAAGTATGGCCTTTTTTTCGTTCCTTGGGGTGAAGTTTGGCGTGGTAGCGTTCTGTAAAATATTTTTGTTTTGGTATCTAGCTCTCAAACATAAGGTTTTACTTGACCGGTTCCAGCTAACCTCCGCCTTCGCGGTCGGCCAGTTGGTGTATGAGGTATTGCGCCCTAAACTGACCCTCTTCTGACAATGACACTAACCGACACCCGTGCCCGTGCGGCGTCTGCGCCACTGCAGCATCCGCGGCCAGATCAGCTGGCACCAGAAGTTCGCCTTTAGCGAGCACAGTCTGACGACGATCGAGCGGCCGTTCCGGCAACAGCCGGAGGCCGACAACTGGGGGCCGTTCCTCGAGTCGCTCACCGACGCCGAGATGGAGAAGAAGATCCGCGACCAGGACAGGAACACCAGGTCAGTGGGGGCCACGGACGCCAGGTCACTGGGAGCCGGGACAGAACCGCCAGGTCAGTTGGGGCCGCGAAGTTCAGGTCAGACGAGACCTGGGCAGGAACACCAGGTCGGTGAGGCGGGACAGAGGTGTCAGGTTGTCACGGTCTTGACATGGTCTCCAGGCGAGCGGGCCAGGGCGGCAGCATTCGCTCAGCGGGCGCCGATCGGACGGGTGTGCGGGGATGCTCTGTGGACGCATGTCATGTTACCAAGCGCTCCCCCCGTCGTCGAGCTGGCCGTCTGGGGTTCTGTGCGGCACGCCCCGGCGCGGGTGTTCTGGCGGGCCGCTCTGTGTCCAGCTGCGGCGTCAGTCAGCGGCTGGGACTGATCTCGTCTCGCTTTCTGCAGGCGGATGCGGCGACTGGCGAACACGGCTCCTGGCTGGTAGGCGGCCCGGTCCCCGCCTCTCCCCGCCGCCGCCGCACTCTCTCCCGCTCCCGGCTGCGGCGCCGTGCTGCGACATGGCCCGACGCCGACGCCTGCGAGCCGGACCTGGACTCACCCGAGGCGTCCGAGGCGGAGTCCGCAATCCAGGGGAGGCCGGAGTCGTGGGTGTTCAGTCTGGAGCCGCAGGCTGGCGCGGGGAGGCCAGAGCGCTATGGGACCAGGAGGGCTGTTGACGTGGCCTTGCGTGCGGCGGTCTCCTGCCAAACTTGATGCACGCCTTTTCTATTCATCCCGCCGCTGAAGCTGCCTTATGTGCGTGTGAGTGCGTGAATGCGACCAGGTCGTGTTAGGGCGTCAAGACACCAGTTCAAAGTACCATTGCTGTTAGAGAAGAACGGCTTAATTTCCATCCTTCCCACGAGTGGAACTGGGTGAGCCGGATCACAATACTTACAAGGTGACACATGTGCTTGTGACACAAGGTCACGTTGAGTGGCACTGTTTTACTGAGTGAAACCTTTTCCGTCGTGCGGAGTTGGCTTCGGCTGGCGTTGCTAATTGAAAACATTCAACGCGCAACAGTTTTGAGAACAGTTTCAGCACATAACTGAAAACTACCATATTCATAGCGCACCTGTCATTGGAAATGATTATTGAGAAATATATTGATTGGCATGCCTTAGTTTGCTGTATCTTGAGATGCATCGATTTCTCGTTACCATGCTGACTGCAACTGTGTGCAGGTGAATATTATGTTCTTGCGGTAAAATGACAGACATTGCAGCCTTCGGTTTGCGTGGAGAATTTTTCCACAGTACGCGTAACCAAGGGTTTAGATCACTCTGTATTCCCTCCAGTGCGAGATTGGTTATCCAACAAGCCTTGAACACGTGTGCGATAATGCCCATGCGGGGGGACGGGACGCCGGTGCCGTCCCAGCCGGCCGGGCGTCCGACCGTCGTCTGTGGTGCCGCCACTGTGGTCCGGTGAGAGGCCGGCCGGGTGCCGTCAGCCGCCTAGGAGGGGGGCAGCACCGGCTCGTGGATCAGATGCCGGAAGTTGAGGCCCGAGCGCCGGAACGAGGCGTACTGGCGCGCGTCTAGCAGGTCAATCACTGCAACAGGTCACGCCGAGGTCACACCTCGACCGGCAGTCGCTCAGCAGTCAGATCACTGTGACAGGTCACAGAGGTCACACCCCGACCGGCAGCAATCTCGTCATAAGTTTTGGTCATAAGCCTTGAAATGCATGCTATTTAACTTAATTAGGTGCAGTTGCATTTAAGTGAGTCGGTGGTGTTGCAAGGCACAAAAGAACTCGCAGCCTTGGCAAATCACAACAAAAACATTCTAAGGAGCCAAAAATAGCCCATCGTCGCACAGATGCGTGTGATGCTCGTGGCACCACCTATTTTTGTTAGTCTATATTGGACGCCCAAGATGAAAGCGTTGTTTTCTTTTCTCGACAAGTTCCAGCTGACAGCCTCCAATTCTAGCCCTGTTTTCTGGTAACCTATTCCATGAGCTCTGATGCTGGTGCTCCAGTGCGGCCCCAGTGTGGTGCGAACGAGTCACCTCGATGGCTCCTGACGAGAACCGGCCCAGAAGCTAGAAAACTAGTACACCTCTGTGTGAACTGGTGAAGCATCCATTTATATTGGATGTGTGGTGTGGGTGTTTATGGTTGCATATTCTTTCATTATATTTTGTCCTACAGCAGGTGCAATGAATGGCGATGATGATCACGATAAACCTGTCTTTGCTGCTGTTGCTCGCTTACTCCTGCTCTAACAGCAACGGCTCGTTTCCTTAACATCTTCCTAGGGGTACGGCATCTGCGTGGGGTGGGGCGGGGCTGAGGTGAAAGTCAATTATCTTCCCATTCTGACAGTTGAGTGAAGGTCCCCATGTTTGGGAGCCTGGCGTCCGGCGTCCATGCCTGTGAGCGCTGCTAAAACCGCCCCCCGCTTCCGTCGTCGGCGCCAGAGTTGCGGCCGTGCCCCACGGAGGCTGCGCTCCCGCCCTGTGCGCGCCCGCGCTGCCACCTCGTCCTACCTTCCACCTCGGCATCGAAACCGGTGGGCAGGCTGCCGGGCTGCGCGGCGCCGTCGCTGTGCACGGCGATGCGTACCTCGCCGCGCGCGAACACCAGGTGCGGCCGCGTGCCGCTCTGGAAGGTTGGCCGCCGTCAGAGGGCGCGGTGACGTCACGAGTGGGCCGAGGAGGCGACTCACGCCCGACCTCGGTGTAGCTTCACATGCGGACATGATGGTTCAGTGCAAGTCCATGTCAAATTCGCATGAACCTACTGACAATTGGGAACGGAAGCATAACCAAGCTGTAGATTGTTAGCGTTTATTTTGCTTATGCAAATTGGTGGCCGTTATCACACTGTTACAGCATCTACTCAGCTGCACTAGCGACCCACACTGGCCCACGCTGAACCAGCTCTGACCTTTCTGGATCCTCGTGCTGACCTGCTAAACCGGGTCTCGACGCGTGAACCCCAGCCTGACCTGCCTGAAGCCCTGCTCCGACCTGCCTCACCGGACTCTGGTCCGCCTGCAGGCCCGTTCTGACCTGTCTGACCGGACTCTGATCCCCCTGAAGCCCGCGCTCTGACCTGTCTTACCGGGCTCTGGTTCGCCTGAGCCCCGCTCTGACCTGTCTTAACCGGGCTCTAGTTCGCCTGAAGTCCCCGATCTGACCTGTTCTGACCGACTCTGATCCCCCTGAAGCCCCGTTCTGACCTGTCGGACCGGACTCTGATCCCCCTGAAGCCCCGCTCTGACCTGTCTACCGGGCTTCTAGTTCGCCTGGAGCCCCGCTCGACCTTACTTACCGGGCTCTAGTTCGCCTGGAAGCCCGCTCTGACCTGTCTGACCGGTCTGATCCCTGAAGCCCTGTTCTGACCGTCTTACCGGCTCTAGTTCGCCTGAGCCCCGCTCTGACCTGTCTTACCGGGCTCTAGTTCGCCTGGAGCCCCCGCTCTGACCTGTCTTACCGGGCTCTAGTTCGCCTGGAGCCCCGTTCTGACCTGTCTTACCGGGCTCTGTCGCCTGAGCCCCGCTGACCTTCTTACGGGCTCTAGTTCGCCTGGAGCCCCGCTCTGACCTGTCTTATCGGCTCTGGTTCGCCTGAAGCCCCGCTCTGACCTGTCTTACGGGCTCTAGTTCGCCTGAAGCCCGCTCTGACCTGTCTTACCGGGCTCTGGTTCCCTGAAGCCCCGCTCTGACCTGTCTTACCGGGCTCTAGTTCGCCTGGAGCCCCGCTCTGACCTGTCTTACGGGCTCTAGTTCGCCTGAAGCCCCGCTCGACCTGTTGACCGGGCTCTGGTTCGCCTGAGCCCCGCTCTGACCTGTCTACCGGTCTGTCGCCTGGAGCCCCGCTCTGACCTTCTTACCGGGCTCTAGTTCGCCTGAGCCCCGCTCTGACCTGTCTTACCGGGCTCTGGTTCGCCTGGAGCCCCGCTCTGACCTGTCTTACCGGGCTCTAGTTCGCCTGGAGCCCCGTTCTGACCTGTCTTACCGGGCTCTGGTTCGCCTGGAGCCCCGCTCTGACCTGTCTTACCGGGCTCTAGTTCGCCTGAAGCCCCGCTCTGACCTGTCCTACCGGGCTCTGGTCCGCCCCGCTCTGACCTGTCTTACCGGGCTCTGGTCTGCCCCGCTCTGACCTGCCTGACCAGGCTCTGGTCCGCCCCGCTCTGACCTGTCTTACCGGGCTCCGGTCCGGCCCGCTCTGACCTGCCTGACCAGGCTCTGGTCCGCCCCCCTTCGACCTGCCTGGCCGGGCTCTGGTCCGCGTGAGTCCCCGCCCTGACCTGTCTGACCCTGTTGCCGCACCAGCGCGCCTCGAAGCCGTCGTTCTCGCGCTCCACCTCGATGTAGGCGTCCGCGCAGTCGCTGGTCAGTGGGGCGCTCAGGTTGTGCAGTGTCACCAGTAGGTACAGGTGCGGCTCCGTCTGCCGGCGCCGCCAGCCGTTACGGGCGTAGTATCACACGGCGTCCGCTGCTGGCGGTGGGAGCGGGCGGGCGCGACACGGCAGTGACGCACGTGCGTGGAAACAGACGTGCCGTATGTTACGGTTCCGTTCATGAGATCGCGCTCGGACATTCGCTCATGCGGCATGGTGTGGTGTTATCGCAGATCTGCACGGGATCATACGTGCACACCTACGGCTGTCATGGAAAGGCTACGTGGCATTTGTAGAGCGCACGTTTGTAGAGAATACTACCACGTCATACACCTGATACGGGACTCGGCTACGTTGCAATCGCATACACCTGACAGCTAAAACATCGTCTGAAACTGGCGCTGACAGTCACAAGAGATGAGCCCTCAATCTACCACAGACGGCCGAGGTATGACTACCTAAATTCACATGCGACAGTTTGGGAATTCTCACCTCAAGCTAATATCGACAGTCGAGAGACCGCTCACCTGGATCCGCCACAGTCGAAAGACTGTTCACCTGGATCTGACACCGACGGTCGAGAGACTGCTCACCTGGATCCGCCACAGACAGTCGAAAGACTGTTCACCTGGATCTGACACCGACAGTTGAGAGACTGTTCACCTGGATCTGACACCGACGGTCGGCAGACTGCTCACCTGAATCTGCCACTGGCAGTCGGTCTGGGCCGACCTCGGGTCCCGTACGCTCCTCGGCTGCAGTCGCTGGTAGCTCAGCTCCGGCTGTTCGGGCCACAGCAGCGACGGTCGGAATCTGAGGACGCGCGCGGAAGAGCTCAGGCGCCGTGTCGTTGTCCTGCTGTGTTTCTCCTCGGACAGCTGTTTGTGAATTGACATGGCAAACATTTTGGAACGGTTTCTTATGGCGCCCGTATTGCGCTAGGAGGTCCTGGTTCCAGGTGTAGTCACCAAAGGGGTTGTCCTCAGCTTAAAATTGGGATGTCATTGCAAGTAAGGATGGATTCAGAACACCGCCTTGGTGAGGGACAACATGGCTTGAGGAGCGTGTTAAAAAAACGCGTCCTGCTTTTCGAAGCTCATCTGATTTTGTTTCTCTGTAGCCCACGGAGTAGTTTGAAACAAACTTTCCTCAGCAAAGTTTGCTTAGATTGTCTTCAGCTTCAAGAAATGTGCGATTTTTGCCGACTGGCCATTTCGAGCGTGAGGCGTGGTCCGGTTGCCCCCCCCCCCCCGCCGCATACACCCTTGATTGCAAAAATTGTCGTGGATCGCCGTTCTTCTAACGTGAGAGCTTCAACACTGCGGGTCTCACATCCCTTGACGTCCCCTTGAGGTCGATTTCTCACCGGAATAGCCTGTCGTCGGGCTCCCTGAAGCCCTCCGCTGCGTCGGTCTGGCCCAGCCAGGGCGGTGGAACCTCACCCGGCGCGAGCAAGTCGCGCTCCGCCGGGGCGGCCGCTTGGAACGCGTCTCCACGCGACGGCCGGTAGGTGGCGCTCCGTCGGCCGAAGGCGGGCCGCAGTCGTCCGCCGCGCCCGAACTGGCCTGGGAAGTACACGTGGCCGGGCCGCGGACGCGCGCCGGGCCTGTGTGAGCTGAGGGACCGCTGGGGGTCCCAGTACGGGGCCCACACGGGAGGTGGCGCTGGGAGGCTCCCTCCGATGCGATACCAGGGGCGCAAATGGGCTCCGATGCGACGGTGCGCCCCGCCACCTCCGCCGTACCTCGTGGCCGGGCTGGT